CAGGTCCCTCCTATAGTGGGAGGTGGCAAAATGGCGGCCGCCTGTGGAGGCGGCCATGTTGGGGATGCCTCCTGAGCTGCCATAGAGACACGGAAACGGGGTGGGAAGGGGGGGTTAGAACGTTTATTGGGGGGCGTGGTGACGTAAGAGGTGACGTAGGGACGTATGGGGGGGCTATAGGGGACCTATGGGTCCCCCCCCTTCACTCCTCACTCGCGCTGAGCCTCCATGGGGCGCTGCAGCTGCTCCAGCTCCTGGGCCAACCTAAAAGGGGGCGGAGTCAGAGGGAGAGGGGGCGTGGCCACGTGGTTCCCAGTGGGCGGGGCCTGTTTGGGAGGGGCGGTACCCACCTGTCCCGGCGGCGCTGGCAGCTCTGACGCCGCGCAAGCTCCGCCCCCAGGCGCTGCCCCGCCCACTCCGCCTCCTGCTCAACCAATTGGCTGTGGAGGGGGGGGCGGAGTCAATGGGGGGGAGAGGGAGGGGCAAGGAACACAATGGGCGGGGCCAAGCGCGGGGTGGGCGGGGCCTCCAGGCACTCACATGGCCACGAAGGCTTCGGGGCCCAGCTCCTGCTCGGCCTCCAGCAGGCGGCGCTCTGCAGGGGGCGGGGCTTGTTAGCTTGGGGGGGGACCCAGGGTGGCAATGGGGGGGGACATGGGTTCAATGGGGGGGGACATGGGTTCAATGGGGGGCCATGGGTTCAATGGGGGGGTCCATGGGTTCAATGGGGGGGACATGGGTTCAATGGGGGGGCATGGGTTCAATGGGGGGCCATGGGTTCAATGGGGGGGACATGGGTTCAATGGGGGGGCATGGGTTCAATGGGGGGCCCACGGGTTCAATGGGGGGGTCCATGGGTTCAGTGGGGGTCCATGGGTTCAATGGGGGGTCCATGGGTTCAATGGGGGGTCCATGGGTTCAGTGGGGCAGGCCATGGGTTCAATGAGGTGGGCCATGGGTTCAGTGGGGGTCCATGGATTCAGTGGGGGGTCCATGGGTTCAGTGGGGGGTCCATGGGTTCAGTGGGGCAGGCCATGGGTTCAGTGGGGGGTCCATGGGTTCAGTGGGGCAGGCCATGGGTTCAATGAGGTGGGCCATGGGTTCAGTGGGGCAGGCCATGGGTTCAATGAGGTGGGCCATGGGCTCAGTGGGGCGGGCCATGGGCTCAGTGGGGGGTCCATGGGCTCAGTGGGGCAGGCCATGGGTTCAGTGGGGCAGGCCATGGGTTCAGTGGGGGGTCCACGGGTTCAGTGGGGCAGGCCATGGGTTCAGTGGGGCAGGCCATGGGTTCAATGAGGTGGGCCATGGGTTCAGTGGGGGGTCCATGGGTTCAGTGGGGCGGGCCATGGGTTCAATGAGGTGGGCCATGGGTTCAGTGGGGGGTCCATGGGTTCAGTGGGGGGTCCATGGGCTCAGTGGGGCAGGCCATGGGTTCAGTGGGGCGGGCCATGGGTTCAGTGGGGGGTCCATGGGTTCAGTGGGGGGTCCATGGGTTCAGTGGGGCAGGCCATGGGTTCAGTGGGGGGTCCATGGGTTCAGTGGGGCAGGCCATGGGTTCAGTGGGGAGTGTGGGGCTCACCCTGGCTCAGCAGCTTCCCCATGGCCTCCTCCAGCCGCTCCAGTTCAGCCTCCAAGTGGGCGGGGGCCTGCAGGGGGCGTGGCCATGGTGTAAGGGGCGGGAGCTACGTGGGGGCGTGGCCATGGGGGCGTGGCCACGTGGTGGAGGGGGGGCGGGGCCCTCACGTGCTCCTCCCGCAGCCGCTTGTGCTGCTCCATGAGGTCCTCGAGCTGCCTCCAGAACTGCTCCCTGTGTTGGGCCACGTGGGGGTGCCGCGTGGGTCACGTGACCGCTGTCAGCTGCCCCCGTGCCTCACGTGACCCCCACCTGTGTGCCCGGCGCTGCAGGCGGAGGCGGCTCCGCTGCTCCCCGGCCCCGGCCACTTCCTGCTGCCGGGTCAGGCAGCGGCCCCGGTGCCTGCGGGGCCAGGGGTCAAGGGTCACGGGGTCAAGGGAGAGGTCAGACTGGGTCAAGGGGTCAAAGATCACAGGGTCAAGGGGAGGTCACCAGGAGGTCAGGGGACAAAGCTCAGGGGATCATGGGGGTCAAAAGTCACGGGGGTCACGAGGCCAAAGGTCACGGGGTCAAGGGGAGGTCACCAGGAGGTCAGGGTACAAAGCTCAGGGGGTCCTGGGGGTCAAAGGTCACAGGGGTCAAGGGTGAGGTCGGAATGGGTCAAGGGGTCAAAGATCACAGGGTCAAGGGGAGGTCACCAGGAGGTCAGGGGGCAAAGCTCAGGGGGTCAGGGGGTCAAAGGTCACTGGGGTCAAGGGCGAAGCCGTAATGGGTCATGGGGTCAAAGATCACAGGGTCAAGGGGAGGTCAGCACGAGGACAGGGGGCAAAGCTCAGGGGGTCAGGGGGTCAAAGGTCATGGGGGTCAAGGGCGAGGCCATAATGGGTCATGGGGTCAAAGATCACAGGGTAAAGGGGAGGTCAGCATGAGGTCAGGGGACAAAGCTCAGGGGGTCCTGGGGGTCAAAGGTCACAGGGGTCAAGGGTGAGGTCGGAATGGGTCAAGGGGTCAAAGATCATAGGGTAAAGGGGAGGCCACCACGAGGTCAGGGGACAAAGCTCAGGGGGTCATGGGGTCAGAGGTCACAGGGTGTCAAGGGCAAGGTCAGACTGGGTCAAAGGGTCAACGATCACAGGGTCAAGGGGAGGTCAGCAGGAGGTCAGGGGACAAAGGTCAGGGGTCAGGGTCAAAGGTCGTGGGACCAATTGGAGGCCAGCAGGGGTTAGGGTGTTGATGGTCATGGGGTCAAGGGGGAGGTTGTAAAGGGTTAGAGGTCATGGGGGCAGGGGTTAGCAGGGGTCAAGGGTCAATGGGGTGAGAGCACTTGGGATCAGTAGGAGAGTGGGGGGTAGGATTGAGGGGTCAACGGGGGTCAGAGGTCAGTGGGGTTTTTGGTGGGGTCAGAGGTCACCAGTGGTCACCTGATGGATGGGGGGGAAGTGTCAGGGTTCACCAGGGTGTGAGGGGTTACCTATGGGGTCAGAGGTCATCTGGATGTCAAGGGTCAGCGGTCACATGATGTGTTCGGGGGGGTGGGGTGGTCATTGGAGGACCCCCTGGCCCCTCCCACTCACCTTTGACCTTTGGCCTCCACCTCCTCCCTGCGCAGCCGTGCCACCCGCAGTGCCCCTGGGGGGGGGGACAATGAAGGGACCCCCCAAAACCCCCCTTGAGCCCCCCAAAACCCCCCTTTGAACCCCCCACCCCCCCTTGACCTCCCCAAAACCCCCATTGAACCCCACAAAACTCCCCTTGACCCCCCAAACACCCCAAAAACCCCCCAAAAACCCCCATGACCCCTCCCAAACACCCCCTTGAATCCCCCATTTGAGCCCCACAAATCTCCCTTGAACCCCTCACAACCCCCCTTGACCCCCAAAACCCCCTTGACCCCCAAACACTCTCTTGACACCTCCCAAACATCCCCTTGAATTCCCCCATCCACCCCCTTGAGCACCCCCAACCCCCCCCGAACCCCCCCAGCCCCCCTTGAACCCCCCAAACACCCCCTCGACCTTCCACCCCCCCTTGAACCCCCCCAAACCCCCCCTTGACCCCCCCCAAATCCCTCTCTTGACCCCCCCAAATACCCCCTTGAAACCCCCCAACCCCCCGTGAATGCCCCCAAAGCCCCCATTGACCCCCACAAAACCACCCTTGAACCCCCCCAAACCCCCCTCTTGAACGCCCCAATCCCCGCTCTATACCCACCAACCCCCCCTTTCCCCCCCAAATCCCCCTCTTGAACCCCCCATCCACCCCCTTGAAACCCCCCAAACCCCCGCTTTACCCCCCCAGATACCCCCTTGAAACCCCCCAACCCCCCGTGAATGCCCCCAAAGCCCCCCTTGACCCCCACAAAACCCCCCTTGAACCCCCCCAAACCCCCCTCTTGAACCCCCCAAACCCCCCAAACCCCCCTCTTGAATCCCCCCAAACCCCCCTCTTGAACCCCCCAAACCCCCCAAACCCCCCTCTTGAACCCCCAAACCCCCCTTGAAACCCCCCAAACCCCCGCTTTACCCCCCAAATACCCCCTTGAACCCCCAAACCCCCTTTACCCCCCCCTTGAACCCCCCCAAACCCCCCCTTGTTCCCCCCCCCCAGACCCCCCACTGGCCCCAGCCCATGGCCTCACCCTGCTTCTGCTGCCAGAGCCCATCCAGCGCCGCGCGCCGCTCCTCTACTGCAGCCAGCCCCCAAAAGCAGGGAGTTTCACCCCAAAACAGAGTCCCCATTGAACACCAGGGTCCCCCAAACACCGGGTCCGGGTCCGGGTCCCCCCCCATTGATAAGGTCCCCCCCATAGATGGGGTCCCCACTCACGCTGCTCCAGGTGCCGGCGCAGCCCCGCGCTGTGACCCTGCGCCTCCGACAGCTCCCGCGCTGCGGCCTCGCGTGCTGGGGGGATGATGATGGGGATGATGATGATGGGGATGGGGATGATGGGGATGGGGATGATGATGATGGATGGGGATGATGATGATGGGGATGGGGATGATGGGGATGGATGGTGATGGATGGTGATGATGGTGATGGATGGATGGTGATGGATGGTGATGGGGATGGGGATGGATGGTGATGATGGATGGGGATGGATGGTGATGGGGATGGATGGTGATGATGGATGGGGATGGATGGGGATGGGGATGGATGGTGATGATGGATGGGGATGATGGATGGGGATGGATGGGGATGATGGATGGGGATGGATGGGGATGATGGATGGATGGTGATGGTGGTGATGGTGATGATGATGGATGGTGATGTATGGTGATGATGGATGGGGATGGATGGGGATGATGGATGGGGATGGATGGGGATGGGGATGGGGATGGATGGGGGTGGGGATGGGGATGGATGGTGATGATGGATGGTGATGGATGGTGATGATGGATGGGGATGGATGGTGATGATGGATGGGGATGGATGGGGATGGATGGGGATGGGGATGGATGGTGATGATGGATGGGGATGGATGGTGATGATGGATGGGGATGGATGGTGATGATGGATGGGGATGGATGGTGATGATGGATGGGGATGGATGGGGATGGGGATGGATGGTGATGATGGATGGTGATGGATGGTGATGATGGATGGGGATGGATGGGGATGGGGATGGATGGGGATGATGGATGGTGATGTATGGTGATGATGGATGGGGATGGATGGGGATGATGGATGGGGATGGATGGGGATGGGGATGGGGATGGATGGGGGTGGGGATGGGGATGGATGGTGATGATGGATGGGGATGGATGGGGATGGATGGTGATGGGGATGGATGGGGATGGGGATGGATGGTGATGATGGATGGTGATGGATGGTGATGATGGATGGGGATGGATGGTGATGGGGATGGATGGTGATGATGGATGGGGATGGATGGTGATGATGGATGGGGATGGATGGTGATGATGGATGGGGATGGATGGTGATGATGGATGGGGATGGATGGTGATGATGGATGGGGATGGATGGTGATGGATGGATGGTGATGGTGATGGGGATGGGGATGGGGATGGATGGTGATAATGGATGGGGATGGATGGTGATGATGGATGGGGATGGTGATGGGGATGGATGGATGGTGATGGATGGTGATGGGGATGGGGATGGATGGTGATGATGGATGGGGATGGATGGTGATGGGGATGGATGGTGATGATGGATGGGGATGGATGGTGATGGGGATGGGGATGGATGGTGATGGGGATGGATGGGGATGGGGATGGATGGTGATGATGGATGGTGATGGATGGTGATGGGGATGGGGATGGATGGGGATGGATGGGGATGGATGAGGATGGATGGGGATGGATGGTGATGATGGATGGGGATGGATGGGGATGGATGGTGATGGGGATGGATGATGATGGTGGTGATGGTGATGGTGATGGTGATGGGTGGTGATGGATGGTGATGGATGGTGATGGGGATGGGGATGGATGGGGATGGATGAGGATGGATGGGGATGGATGGGGATGGGGATGGATGGGGATGGTGATGGATGGTGATGGATGGGGATGGATGGGGATGGATGAAGATGGGGATGGATGGGGATGGTGGTGATGGATGATGATGGATAATGATGATAGATGATGATGGATGATGATGATGATGATGGTGGATGATGATGATGGATGAAGATGGATGATGATGATGATGACGGATGAAGATAGATGATGATGGATGATGGTAGATGACGATGATGATGATGATGATGGATGGATGATGGATGAAGATGGATGATGATGATGATGATGGATGAAGATAGATGATGATGGATGATGGTAGATGACGATGATGATGGATGGTGATGGATAAAGATGGATGAAGATGGATGATGATGATGATGATGGTAGATGAGGATGATGATGGATGGTGATGGATAAAGATGGATGAAGATGGATGATGATGATGAATGATGGTAGATGAGGATGATGATGGATGGTGATGGACAAAGATGGATGAAGATGGATGATGATGATGAATGATGGTAGATGAGGATGATGATGGATGGTGATGGATAAAGATGGATGAAGATGGATGACGATGATGCTGCTAATGGATGATGGTGGATGATGATGATGGACGGTGATGGATGATGACGATGATGACGATGATGCTGCTGATGGATGATGAAGGACAGACACCACAGGGCCAGACAGAGGGACCCAGAGGGGGGTCCCCATCACTCACCCCGGTGCAGGCTGCGGATCTGCGCCAGCAGCGCCTCCGGCCGTGGTCCCCCGGCCATGGGGGGATGGAGGGGAGCTGGGGACGGACACACGCACGCGTACGTGTAACACGCATACATGTAACACGCATACATGTAACACACATGTAACACACATACATGTAACACGCATACGTGTAACACACACATGTAACACGCATACATGTAACACGCATACGTGTAACACACGTGTAACACACATACATGTAACACGCATATATGTAACACACATACATGTAACAAACATACGTGTAAAACACATACATATAACACACATATATGTAACACGCATACATATAACACGCACACGTGTAACACACGTGTAACATACATGTGACACACATACGTGTAGCACATACATGTAACATACATGTAACACACATACATGTAACAAACATACGTGTAACACACATATGTGTAACACAGACACGTAACATGCATATATGTAACATGCATACGTGTAACACACATACGTGTAACACACATACATGTAACAAACATACATGTAACACATACGTGTAATGCATACATGTAACACGCATATATGTAACACGCATACGTGTAACACACATACGTGTAACACACATACGTGTAACACACATATATGTAA